ATAATGAAGTTGCAAGTAATGAGACAAATGAACAAGTTAAAGCAGGTGTGTGCATGCGAGATCATTCCCAATCAAATCTGACAACAGGTTCATGCGCGGTGATATAATGATTGCCGTTAAAGCAATCATAAAGTACCGCATGCGCCATTATAGACGTTACTGTCTCATCATCCTGATATAAATCATTAGATTTTACAGTATAAACAACTTGCAATCTTCGAAAGACAAGTCAAATAAAACAGTGGCATTCAGTTTGTACGCGCTATATATAGCTCAGTATTACACAAACTACTCCATTGGTAAGTCAGTCACTTTTAGACGACGTTCACATGCACTACGCCGGAGTGGTTTGAAAACGGCGAGGAAAATTCACAATTAGCCGTCGCATGCACATTACGCCGGAGCGAAATTGTTTGAAAACGTCACTTTTGCCGTAACAATTTGAGCACGGTTTTTAAATGGAGCGAGATGAAAACGGAGCGCTTGGCTGCTTCGTGTGAACACAAACGCCGTTACTCTTTTGTAGTGTACCGCTTGCAAACCAAACATCTCAGGTCTTAACACAATAAATTCGAATGCTTCTCGTTTTTGGATTTACATGAGTGCAAATTTAATGTGTAAACAAACTGTATCGGCGTAGCTAGTGTGAACACACGTAAAAGGTAGCGTCATTATTTTGCTCCGGCGTAGTGTCAGAGGCGTAGTGTGAACGTAGTCTTATTCAACTTTTATACATCACGAAGTATATAATTTTTACCAGTGAAACAATTGCGTGAAGGCCAGACCCAGTCTAGTTCACGCATGCGAAGAGCGCGGTCAATCCGTCAACATGAAAACTGCGCTCACAGCTCTCTATATTAATTCATTTATTCAGGTAAAACGTCCTAGTAGACTTTACCTTAATTTTTTCTTATTTTTTCAATAATTTGTATTGAAAGAGCATTTTGTTTCTGCAATGAAAGTGTGCCGAGGAGTGCTGGTTCTCATGCGGCGTTTCCATTTTGTATAGACTAAAAGCAGTCCCTCCTTAAAAGGATAAGAGGGACTGCAGACAACACATCAAGAAACGAAATACGCCCACTTTTCGCACTGCTCTTGGCCCTTAGCTACAATATATAGTTATTTTGGCGTTGTCGCTTCGATCTTGACTTTAAAATACACACGAGTGACCACGGGTGATAAAAAGCCGTTTCGGAATGATCCGTTGACTAAAAGTACACACTAGTGACCATGCACGAGTAACCACGAGTGACCATGTTATAAAAGGCAAAAAATGTTTTGTTTTCGTGGTTTCTCTAGCGGGAATAGCACTCGGCACAAACTATAAACCTATTCTTACGGAATTACTAACTACGAAAGAATAATTAATTACTTAGACCCCGTTTACACGGTACCGGACGAATTTGGGACCGGACGAAAATTCGTCCTTTTTCGCCTGTTTACACGCGAATTCGTCCTGTTAGGAGGTCTCAAATTCGTCCGGTTCCGTGGTTCTCGTGTGTTTACACGGCCGAAACGAACGAATTTTCGTCCGGTCACAAATTCGTCCGGTACCGTGTAAACGGGGTCTTATTTAACAGGTTTTGGGACACCCAAAATTACCTCAGCAAGTTAGACTCTCTGTTTAAATATTATGAAATAAACTGTGCATCCACACAGGGCAAGCTGAAAAGTTTGCCTGACCACAGTGGGAATCGAACCCGCGACCTTTGGGATACCAGTCCAATGCTCTGCCAACTGAGACTTGACAGTCTCGTAGCTCAGTTGTTAGAGCATTGGACTAGAACCCCAAAGGAGCATTGGACTAGTATCCCAAAAATTTTCAGCTTGCAACAACCCCTCGCCTATATATTTTCCAAACATTGTTTCAACGTGAAGTATTCGTAATTACGTCAACACTGAACGCAGGTTCGCGTTGCACGTCATGTTAGTCATCGCAACACCATAATTGTTTTTTTTTAATTTTTGTACAAACCTGCAAAAATGGCTATTAGTAAAACACGGAGTACGGAGCACACGGAGTACGGAGCACACAGAGTGCGGAGCACACGGAGTACGGAGCAGCAGAACAACCAAAATCCTTTATGATAAAATACATTGTTTCCTATTACAAATTTTTGTTATTATTAATAAAGATTTTTAGCGTTTTGCACGTTGGGGAAGTACGAAAATGGGGCTTTCAAAAAACACATATGATACAAAACTGCCAAAAGCCATTGTTGTATTTCAAATAGCCGAAATAGGATTCTGAAATTCGTTATCTTACATCTATCAAGCTTAATAATTATGTAGTTATGTTTATAATTTATTCTCTATATTATATTATATTCCGATGGCCAACACATGAAACGCTTATAGAGATTTAGAACAGCATATATTTACCACTGTGAAGTACGCATGACATTCAACATGATATTCGATATTGTGTTAACTCGCTCATTTCAATCACTCAGAAGTAAAAATGAAAAATATAGCCATTTCTTCTCAGTCCAAATGAATTAGAAAGAAAGAAATTAATCATACAGTTCGTATTAACTAATTAATACCTCTATGTTTTATTGCATACAAACCAACAAACGCGCGGCAAAGCAGTCCAAAAAGACATTTTACTAACAATAACCCCAGTTGCCAAATAAAGCCTGTACTAAAAAACTGTCAAGAAATGTTTTTAAATAATTAAATTCCAAGTCCGCTATTCTATAGGGTTTTCTCAAACTTTCATATATTGTATAAAATCATATTTTCTTTCATTTGATTACTTACACGTAAGAGGTGCAAGCCTGCAAACGAACGACAATCCATCTCAAAATTGACTACTTTGCACGCCTCATCCTAATTAAATCTGATCAAAAATTGCCTGTTAAACCATCCATAAAACATGCCGCTCTATTCTATATAATATTTTTAAATTTTCATATGTTATATAAAATTGTATGCGCTTTCAAATGGTTACTTACACGTAAGTGGTCCAAGCCTTAAATTGGACTGCATTACGCGTATCTTATATATACTAAGCCAATTATATGTCTTGTGACAACTTCCTGTTAATTTGTAGATTTTTCGCCCGCTATTCAATACGATTTTCTTAAAATTTCATATATTGTATAAAAATATATGCTCTTTCAAATGATTACTTGAATGTAAGTGGTGCAGGCCTGAAAATGGACGAAAATCCCACTCAAATTGGACAGTATTACGCGCGTCTTATATTTATAGCCAATTATATGTATGTCTTGCGAGGAACTTCCTGTTAATTTGTAGATTTTGCGCCCGCTATTCTATAGGATTTTCTTAACATTTTATATATTGTATAAAAATATATGCTCTTTCAAATGGTTACTTACACGTAAGTGATGCAAGCCTACAAATGAACGAAAATCCCACTCAAACAGGACTGTCCTTTATTCGAACAATTGTCTGTTAAATTGTAAAAATCTTGCCCGCTATTCCACTATAGGATTTTCTTAAGATTTCATATATTCTATAAAATTATATTCTCTTTCAAACGATTACTTACACGTAAGTGGTGCAAGCCTTAAAAGTTAAAATGAACGAAAATCCCACTCAAATTGGACTGTAGTACGCGCGTCTTATGTATAGGAACTTCCTGTTAATTTGTAGATTTTGCGCCCGCTATTTTATAGGATTTTCTTAAAATTTCATATATTGTATAAAAATATATGCTCTTACAAATAATTACTTATGGTGCAAGCCTTAAGGCTGATTTCCACTGTTGCGTTTTTCGTACGTGGCACGTACACGCACGTACTGAAACTTTGAATCGTTCTATTTTTTAAATATTTTACAAATAAGTTAACAAATGCATACTAAAACTTGCGGAACACTAAATTCTGTTGCTTTATTTATTTGGTTATTTGATAAGTAACGATTTAAACGGATTTAAAGTTTTACGTGCGTATACGTACGTATGAAAAACGCAACAGTGGAAATCAGCCTTAAAAATGAACGAAAATCCCACCCAAACTGGACTGTATTATACGCGCGTCTTCCCAGCGGGCAAAATGACGTTTATCCAACGTTGAATCAACGTTGGAAATGACCTTCCATATAGATAGACGTTGAAAAAGGGTTGATTATTCAAATTGGATCGACGTTACTGTTTCGACGTTGAAACAACGTTGAAATTAGGTTGCCAATCTCGTCAACCATAATTCAACGTTGAATCCACGTTAAAACAACGTTGAGATTGGTTCACAAAATCGACGTCGTACATTTAACCATAAATGAACGTTAATTCAACGTCTGTTGGCTGCTGTTGAACCAATGTTTGTAAAACAACGTCAGAGCAACGTAGATATTAGGTTGTCGACTTCGCAACCTTTTTTCTACCAAATTTGAACGTTGAAACAACGTCGTGTGCCCGGTGGGTTATACTAAGCCAATATGTCTTGCGAGAAACTTCCTGTTAATTTATTGTAGATTTTGCGGCCGCTATGCTATATCATTTTCTTACAATTTCATATATTGTACAAAAATATATGCTTTTTCAAATGGTTACTTACACGTAGGTGGTGCAAGCTTATAAACAAGCAAGAATCCGTCTCAAAATGGACTATGTGGCAGATGTCATCGTATTAAATTAATCTGATATACACAAAGTCAATTATATATATATATATATATATATATATATATATATATATATATATATATATATATATATATATATATATATATATGTGCGCTGTCAAAAATTGCCTGTTAAAAACATACCCTCTATTCTGTACAATTTTTTTAAACTTTCTTATATTGTATAAAATTATATGCTCTTTCAATTAGTTACTTATGCGTAAGTGATGCACCTGGCAAATAAACGAAAACTTATCTCGGTAATTTTTAACAGAATTAAGATGATGAAAGTTACCGCATGAATGTTATTAGAGACCTTAAGATTGACGTTTACGCCAAACGTCAAACCGCTAGCGAAGTTTTTGATTTTACAACTCTATTATTATAGCTTTCACACCAGTTTTGAAATATGTTAAACTTATTAAACTTGTGCTCTTTATCAATGATTTAAGAAAGCAAATTAACCACTAGTTATGCCATTCACCAAAGCAGTAAATTAAGATTTGGCGTTTGAAGTTGACGTTTGGCGTATAAATTTCATGCTTTAACGACTACAAGCCCTCGTAGCAGTTCAAGCATGAAATTTATACGCCAAACGTCAACTTCAAACGCCAAATCTTAATTTACTGCTTTGGTGAATGGCATGACTAGTGGTTAATTTGCTTTCTTAAATCATTGATAAAGAGCACAAGTTTAATAAGTTTCACATATTTCAAAACTGGTGTAAAAGCTATAATAATAGAGTTGTAAAATCAAAAACTTCGCTAGCGGTTTGACGTTTGCCGTAAACGTCAATCTTAAGGTCTCTAATATGCATGAAGATTCTCCTATAATGCATAAGCTAAAATTCTTTATTTTCAAAACTGTTTAGGAAGGATATATTTTATGTTATTATCTGAATGTATCACAGAGTAAGTAATAGCAATCATTATAACTATAGGATAAATAAGGTTGAGATGTACTACTATATTAACGAGTTGGCCATTTTTATATGTATTAATTATTAATTATTTTATATAGTATTTCATATATTACAATATTTTTATAATTAGTTTGTTAAACCAGTCGGTAATTATAGGTTTGGATTTAATTAATGCATTTACTAATTAGTGATACGGCCTGCGCCTGAAATGTCATTAGAACTATTGATGAATTCATGTTCAACTAACCGTAGTTATTTCTCATCTCTGCCAAATAAGACATTTAACGGGATGGCTCAGCCCAGCTCCGATTTTCTTGGAAGGGATTTTTTTGCCAGTAGGAGTTTCGTTCATATTCAGGCTGGCACCACTTAACGTGTAAGTAACCATTCGAAAGAACATATAATTTTATACAATATATGAAAGTTTAAAAAAATTGAATAGAATAGAGGGCAAGTTATGGATGGTTTAACAAGCAATTTTTGACAGCGCACATCTGCCACATATATATAGTCCATTTTGAGACGGATTCTCGCTTGTTTATAGGCTTGCACCACTTACGTGTAAGTAGCCGTTTGAAAGACCATATAATTTTATAGAATATGTGAAATTTTTGAGAAAATCCTATAGGATAGCGGGCACGATTTTTACAATTTAACAGACAGTTGTTCAAATCTCATATAATTGACTTAATATAAGACGCGCGAATCAGATTTAATTACGATGCCGCCTGCCACATAGTCCATTTTGAGATCGATTTTCGTCCGTTTTTAGGCTTGCACGGTTGCACCACACCACCACTTACGCGTAAGTAACTATTTGAAAGACCATATAACTTTATACAATATATGAAAGTTTAAAAAAATTGTATAGAATAGAGGGCATGTTATGGATGGTTTAACAGGTAATTTTTGACAGCGCACATATATATATATATATATAATTGACTTTGTGTATATCAGATTTAATTACGATAACGCTAGACTTGCTCCAAGTCTCTCTTTGTGGACATCTATATATTGTACATCTATATTGTACGTTACATGACGTACCGCTGAGGGGGAGAGGTGGAAAGAGAGACTTGTAACATCTGCCAGCAGACATACTTCCGGCTGGTCAATTTCGACCAGCCGGAAGTAGATGGCCGCATTGACTTATCACGTGTTTAGGGGGGGGGGGAGGCGACATCTGGACTTTCAGAGTTATTTGTTTAACATAAGTAATTTTGTATTCACGAGATTTCTTGTAGATTTCACATCACTTTTGCCACTGCGTGCATTTGGAATTTTGGGCATTATTTTTGCAATTTATTGTAAACAACGATTATAAGAAGAACGGATAAATTACAAATCAGCCGTAATCGTCATAAACCTCGATGACCACCAGTGTTTTTGTGTTTGACAATTTGTATTTCATTAGATATTTATATGCAAGGTCAGTATAAACGGGTTATCATATAAAATGATCATTCTAATGAATGAATTGATAAAACGAATTATTTCTAATATGTACGGCCGCGTTTTTTACACAGCCACTACTGAAACGTTTAGGTTGATTGTTGAATAAATCGATGACTTGCTTAGTTGCTTTCTGTTTTGAGCTTAACCACCGTTTAAGCTAAACGGGCTTGATACAACTGGCCCCAGACTCGGCCCCATGCAGATAAACATTTTTGTATTATCGAGATCGAAACTATAGTAAATTGGAAACCGTGCCAATAATAAAAAACGTACAATGAACCCAATATGAACATGCGAAAATTGTCACGCCCAAAATTTATACAAATGTTTAACAAAATTTTTTATTATTGACACGGTTTCCAATTTACTATAGTTTCGATCTCGATAATACAAAAATGTTTATCTGGGGCCGAGTCTGGGGCCAGTTGTATCAAGCCCGTTTAGCTTAAACGGTGGTTAAGCTCAAAACAGAAAGCAACTAAGCAAGTCATCGATTTATTCAACTATCAAGCTAAACGTTTCAGTGAGTGGCCGTGTAAAAAACGTTCAGTAATATATGATATTATGATTACGCAAGTAAATGACACCAAGTGGCAAGTGCGCTTGCGCAAACTCGTTTGAGCAAATGTCGCTCGCAATAGGCTTATGTTTTAGCATGTTTTAAGAATGATATGTTCTATGTTCATGGGATATTTAGTACAAACGGGATGAAAATTAAAGAAATGAAGCATACTGGCGCTTTTGCATGCATTTTTGACAGGCATGCAAAGCAATGTGTAACAGATGCCAAGAGATACGTTGGGTGGGGGCGAGGTTCTCTAAGGTTCCAGCCATGCATTACCCTGATCCAGGAAATCCCGGCCACTATACATGAACGTGTTCAAGAATCCGACTACGCCCCTAGAGCCAATCTAAAATGTTTTTTTAAAGACAGTGCCATTTCTTCTGGCGATAGTGAGGTGAAAGAAGCAGCAAGTTGGTAGTTTTGTTGAGGAGAAGCACGAAAATCTCTCTGAAATGAGAGAACTCAATAAGGATTTGTAAACAACAGTTCATTCAGGGCGGTAATTACGGCTTTAAAGAATAAAAAATATATAGCGGCATTTGCAGAACGCAAATCGTAGACATGTTCATATGGAGACGAGCTACCTTTCTAACCGATTTGCTCGGCAACGACAAGATCTAGGACTAAAATATTATGTAAATTCGTTTTATAGTTTTCCGGTGACTATTTACATGACATAAGGATTATCTTGCCAAGAACTCGTCAGAGAGATATATCTTAGAAAGGTAGCTCACCTCCATACGAACATGCCTAAGATTTGCGTTCTGCAAGTGCCGCTATATATTATTTAGTTTTTTGAAGCCGTAATTGCCGCCCTGAATGAGCTGATGTTTAAAATCCTTATTGAGTTCTCTCATTTCACGATTTCATTGTCTGTATAAAACTGTAGGCAGAGCAACGTACAGACATCTTTGTAAAATATATTTCTTAAAATTGTTTTTGTTTGTGGAAACACCACGTAAATTTATTACTGCAAAGCTTTCGATCCGTAAGCCCGGATCTTCATCAGTGCTAATAATATGTGACTTGTTTAATTCACACGCTCTTTTTATCACAGAATAGATACAGGACCAGAAGTGTCACTCAGACGATATTTTGTCCGAAATTTTACGAGTGCTGATGTGAAAATACGCCATCATATCTATTCTGTGATAAAAAGAGCGTGTGAATTAAACAAGTCACATATTATTAGCACTGATGAAGATCCGGGCTTACGGATCGAAAGCTTTGCAGTAATAAATTTACGTGGTGTTTCCACAAACAGAAACAATTATATTTTATCGCCATGCAAACATTCAAAGAACTTATATTTCTTAAAATTGCTGAAATTTTACATTGTCCCTCCTTCCTTATATTTGCCAATATTTTTCCGAGTATATGCACGCGTCACTTGTTTACATCCACCAAATATCGGGGCTTAACTCGAATGCTCAAATCGTTAATTGACTTCGAGTTAAGCCCCCGGCAAAAAAGGGCGTGACATGGGCTTAACTCGAAATGGGCTTAACTCGAGGGGCTTAACTCGAGGGGCTTAACTCGAATAATACCTACCCCACATATATAGACGGCGAATTTGCTTAAATAACTAAACAAAAAGTTAATAAACTTGTTTTTACAAATATATGTGTGCATAAATAAACTCAATTCCATGTATGTTTAAAGGACATTTGACCTAAATTTAACGAAAAAATAATATTACTAACGTCGAGGCTGTTGCAAACAATTGAATTTTGCGAAGACAAGTTTTCTTTAATCTTTAATAAATAAAATTTCTTTTAACACGGTAGCCTATTCAGTATAATATATACAGTCTGTTTTTCAAAGGGCCGTGCTATACAGTATTAAACATACATTAACTATGGATATTTACAGTTAATTACAGCACATAATTATTACACACTCCATTAATTTCGGAAATGCATTATACATTATTCATGTGCAAGGTTAAGGGCTAAACGCCTTTTGAAATTTGGTAAAGATAAATCCTGAATGTTATTAGTTACTTCATCCGATAATTCGTTCCACCCTTGTGCTGCTCTATAAGAGAAACTTCTTTTAAGAAAGTTGGTTCTTGTTTTAGGCAAAGATAGTTTAACATTATTGCTTCTTAGAGAATAATTACTATTTTCGCATCTCGTGAAGAAATTCTGCACATAATCAGGTAGTCTGTTAGTTAAAGCTTTAAACGTCATAATGATTTCTCTTTTCTTTAAAATGTCTTCAATTGGCATCCAATTGAAACTTTCTAGTATTTGAGTGGAACGAACATCGTATGATTGTCCTGTGATAACTCGAGCTGCTCTTCTTTGTAACTTAGAGAGTTTGTTAAGAATGGTATTAGATCCATCATTCCATATTGTTGAGCAATATGTCAGGTGAGGAGATACTAGAGCATTATACATTTTGATTAGAATGTGTAAAGGAACAAAGGACTTGGCTCTTCTTAGCAATGCAATATTTTTTGAGATTTTTTTACATTGTGCGTCAATGTGTACACCCCACTTTAATTGATCGTCTATGATAAAACCAAGAGATTTTTTATTGGTGACCCGTTTAATATTATTATCTCGTATGGCTAATGAAATCTCTGGGTTGTCTTCAAATTTAGTAAGATGATGTCTAGAGCCAATTATCATAAATTCCGTTTTGCTATCGTTTAGCGTGAGCTTGTTACATCTAAGCCAACTATGAACATTCTCAAGATCTCTTTTAAGTTTAGTCTCGATTTCATTGGCATCTAAGCCGGCACACGAAAGATTTGTG